ATCTGCCATTCTCTACACAGAACTTCTCTACACAACTGACAGATAAATGGTTCGGAAAGCCCTGAGATTGGAGCAGGAACCGCACAAGAACAGAGCTGGAAACTGCCTGGGGACTGGAAATTGTCCCCAGCTCTTGCAGCTGCAGCTCAGAAATATTTCTCTGCATAAGCAAGTCTTTTGCACTTGTCTTTACAAAGGCTTTGCACACTTCATTTTGGAAATCACTTAGGAAAAACAGAGATCAAGCATCTTACCTGAAATACCCAGCAATACCTAGCCTGTACTGAATTGCTACAACCACCACGTTGTCAAAGGCTGCTAATGCTGAGCCATCATATGATGAAGCTGCTCCAAGAACTAATGCGCCTCCATGGATCCAAACTAAAACCTGGAAAGAGAAAAACAGGATCCACCCAGCACAGGTATGAGCTCCCAGTGATAAAATTTAAATATACCCCAAGATCTAATATTTTGTACTGTTTTATTCCTGATACTTTTAGATTACATTTCACAAATTGTAGAAATCCTTTGAGTCTCAGGCCTGCAGGTCTACCAAATGTCACTGATTTATAGCAGGTTAAATACCTACACTGTGCCAGTGCCCTGTGACTTTGGACAGATCATTTAGGTTAAATCAAGCACTGCTCAGCTAAAATGCCAATACAATTTTACTTGTAAAATGGGATTTTGTGTCTCTCTTCAATCTCAGCTAATATTTGATGGGGCAAAGCAGGTAAGTTGACCATCACTACAAAACTGCCCCTGCATGTCGGCTCATGGCACAGGTTGAAGGTTGCTGTCAGATGATTTTGCTCAAGGTGTTATGAGGATTTTGCTTACAGGCAGCTTCTCCTGTTTTCCTGTGGAAACGGGTGTGTACACATTTAGGTACAGGCAATCCTCAGACATTTGGAGAGGAACTTTCTCTTTTCTGTTGGTAATCATGTCTGAAGACTGCTGTCCTAGTACTTTGTCCTGTAGACACCTGCATAAGTGAAAATGTAACAATTAACAGAATTAACTAAAACCTGGAAGGTATGAAGAGAAGCTTTTTGGTGTTTCCCCAACAAAGTGCCAACCAGAAACTGATCTCTAGCACATTTCTAGATTGGTAGCACTGCAAGCATAATATTTTTCTGCTTTTAGTAGGTTTTCTTTCTTTGACCTGTTATTAATGAGATCTGTAAAAATAAAGCCACTTCAGTACACAGTGACATGCAGATACAGTTTTGCATGTTTCAAAAACAGAGAAAAGCAGAAATACATCAGAAAATACATAAGGCAGTGAAAGTATAAGTTAATCATTTTACATCTCCAATAGTTGCTATGTTGCAATGGCAGGTATTAGGCTTGAGACACTAAACAAGGGCAGTAGGAGCATGGGAGTGAGACATTTACAAGGTAGGTCAGAATTGCTCTGCTTATCTCATGTGCCCTTTTAAACAGCTGACTCAGCACTTTCTCCCTAATGCTGTATTCCAACGTTTCCTCAGCTTCTTCTATCTGTGTTCCAAAGGTCTCTAGTGACTGGTAAGTGATGGCCAAGTGCTCCTGAGGCAGAGCATTATCTGGAAAGTGCTGCTCCATCTCAGTTCATCGCTGGTGCCCATGGAACAGCAGCTTTTGGTAAAGACAGCAGCTCATGAAGTGTCTTCAGAAATGCATCCCCTGGAAGAGCTGCAGGTGCAACCAGAGGACACCAAGGAATTCATCTTGGTGGATGGCCCTGTGTGCACATCAGAGTCATGGAATTGCATAGAGCATAACGTTTGGAAAGGTTCCGTGGTTTTATCATTGCCTTACATTGGTGGGTAGGAAGTGGCGTCTCTGACACCTTCCCATGGCTCAGGTGGCTGGGGTTCAGCAAACCTCAGTGATCCAACCGGAGGCTTAGCAAAGGGAAGCCCCAAAAAGACATTTACAGTCCTCTCAGCTGCGTCCACTCGGAACTGGTACCCTCGCACTCTCCCATGTTTGGTCTCTGCTTCTGGGTGTTCTGTGGGACAGGAGCACAACAACACAGAATTGGTCTGTTTCTATGGAATTGCTTGATTTGCTACTTAAATAGGCACCTTTAGTTTACTTAAACGAGTAACGTTTATACAAAAAGCTTCAACAACCTCCAGTCTGTTTAAACAGTACACTATTCTAATCTGCTAGTTTATTTTACGAGTTTGTTTTGCTCAATATTTTACTCATTTGATTACTAATGTTTCCTCATTTAAATTTTAGATTTACTAATTTCTTCAAACACATTTTTATTTTACCTTTATTAAATCAGTATAGCTGACATAATTTTAGCCTTCATTTTGATTGGTCTGTATGTACAATCTCCTTCAGGTATATAATATGTATTGTCTTACCTCCCAGGCATTAGTGGTTGCACATAGATCTTAATAATTTTTTTTGCCCTGGGTTGTTAGATAAAAACCCAATAGATTGCTCTCATTAAGAAAAGACAATGAACACAGAAACTCTTAGTAGTAAGTACAGCCAAAAGAAAAAGCTTCTAACATAGCTAAAAGTAGTCTGGCACAAACAAATCCTGATAACATTTAAGCAAGTCTCATTTTAAGATCTGTGTGAAAGTTCTAGTATCAAATTACAGATGTGGCACTGTGGCTGCTCAGCGTCAGCAGGCAAGATTTTGGGACAGGAATTTGATTTTGCTGTTTGCATAGGAGGCAAATGAGATAAATGACTGAAAGCAGATTAAAAATTGAAATGCACTTTTTGCTATTGCAGCTCACTTTGAGTGCCCAGCTCAGCCCAGGTTTTGTGCCCAGCTCAGCCCAGGCTTTGTGCCCGGCTCAGCCCAGGGTTTGTGCCCGGCTCAGCCCAGGGTTTGTGCCCAGCTCAGCCCAGGTTTGTGCCCGGCTCAGCCCAGGGTTTGTGCTCAGCTCAGCCCAGGCTTTGTGCCCAGCTCAGCCCAGAGTTTGTGCCCAGCTCAGCTCAGGGTTTGTGCTCAGCTCAGCCCAGGTTCTGTGCCCGGCTCAGCCCAGGGTTTGTGCCCAGCTCAGCCCAGGGTTTGTGCTCAGCTCAGCTCAGGGTTTGTGCCCAGCTCAGCCCAGGGTTTGTGCCCGGCTCTCGGGTGGCAGCAGGAGGCAGCTGCTGGTTCCCTGTCGCCCTACAGCGAGCAAAGGGCAG